GGGCGGCGGGCAGCGGGCACCGACGGGGCGGGTTTTTGCAGGGCGGCTGGCTCCGCTCTCGCACGCTTCCAGCGGGGCTGGGAGCCTGCGAGCCGCCCCGCTCAGCATCCCCCCACCCGGGAGGAGTCTCAATTTGCTGCAAGTAATAAGGCCTTTCCTGCGGCTCTCTCCCAGGGGTGAGCTGGGCAGCGTTTAGCTGGCTGAGGCTATTAGGCAGCCTAATAGGTGGCTCATGTGGGGTCCGAGCGGTCTCCTGCAGCGCAAGGGCGGGTGAGAGGGGGTGCCCCGGCTCGGGGCCCGCGGGAAGCCCCGCCGTGGGGCCGCAGCCTTTTGTCTCGGTGGGAAGGCAGGTCTGGGTTTGATCATCGTTACCCACGTTGCAGCAATGCGCGGTGCGGGGGTCAGCCGCAGCCTGCTCACCCTTTTTACCTTTTGGAGCAGGAACCCCTGCGTGGTGAAGAGCAGCTCCAGCCTGGAGCAGACCCCCTCAAGCCCTGAGAGAGGGAGAAAGCGGAGCGGCCTCTCATCGCTTGTCGCTATAAATCTCTGCTTGCATCTATCGCGGAGGGAGGAGAACACACCGGTGAGGGTTTCCTGAGACAGAAGGGGAGCAAGTCAGGGGACTGCCAAGCCCCGCAAGCCCCCGGGAGACGCGCGCTGCCCGCAGGAGGGTCCTGTGTGCATTTACAGTCCTACCAGTTTGGTTTTTTCTTTCCCTCTCTCCACAACACCAGATTCCCTCATTTTGTTTGTTCACTAGAATTTGGCTCTGAATAGCAGGGATCCCGTGTCATCGGGAGAGCAGGGAGCCAGACAAAAGAAATTAACATTGCCCAACCTGCCCTCCCCAACCTTTATTTTGATTCCCCACATGGTTGGCTAAGGTAGTTCCCCGTGCCTGTCGTTTTCCCACTGGGGCCGCTGCTGCCACAACGTCGAGCTGTTTTGCTTTCATTGTTGCGTTTGGCTCTTGACATAAAAGATGCCAAAGCAGCCGTGGAAGCCTTATTCTTTGAAAACTAGGCTTTGTTTTTCCTGCTGCTCCCGCCCTGACTTCTTGACTGGGGCAGGAAAAACACGCCGCTCTGGCCCAGAAGCGGCCCGAACCCAGTTTAGGGGTGAGGTAAGGCAGCCCAGAAGGCAAGGGGAAAACGGGCCGTTCCTCCAGCTAGCCCTTCGCCGGGGCCCTACTCCGCGCTTCGCTCTGCCCCGGCCCCCAGCCCCCGGGGCGGGGAGCCCCGGGCCCCGCCACCGCA